CAAACCCCCTGTTTTCCCTATACGGACTGACCAGACTCAGACCAGTGTTGCGAGTGTCATCCTTTATTAAAGAAAATCATTTTGTCTCATTCTCTTCCTCACTATACCATGGGGCCGAAACCTACACTGTAATTTTAGAATGGCGCAGCCATATTAGAACATACTTCGGTCAGCCAATTCTCCGTTCGTTAGCACCTAATCAGAGGCAAGGTTTTAATGAGAAGCACAGTGTCACCATCGGCGGATAAGGCACTCAAATGAGCATCGACGGGAAGACGATTCTTTCGTGTAGTTTATCGAAAAAGTCAATTATGTTGTACCTATCTTCCCCTTGCAATGTCTGGTGACATCTATTGTGGTAGAAAGTCTTACCATCTAGTTATGCGGAGGCGCGCAGACATTTGCTGAACGTTTATGTAGTTTTTAATCATTTTGCTAGGAAACCATTTTGGTGGTGCGTTGTGGGGAAAGCGAATGGAGTGCTTAGTAGCACTCAATTAATTCAGAGAAACAAAACGATGAATACCGGCTATATAATTAAAAACGGAAAATGTATGCTGAGCTGAATTAATTAGCAGCCTTTGCCGCAGCATTTGATCAACCTAGGATTTGCTATTGATACTGTAGTAACCCTGCCAACAGTAAATCAGAAATCTGTATGTTAATTAGTACATGTGAAGCACACAATTAAATCATAACCGTATCCATAATGTGCATATCATTTGGATTATATCAGAAATCAAATTCAAATCTGTTATTGTGAAAGTGGATGATATTATATGTTGGATTTAAGAAATATACGCATTCGTGTTTCTAGAGTGAATTTTGACAAGTCCATGTAATTACATTGAGGCACACTTCGAAAATAAGCAGAAGACGCTCACATTTACTGTAAAAATTTTTGCATTTGCGGTGTTTAAGTATTCATGAAGGCATCGATTTTTAATTTGCCTGCTGGATTGTAAAACATCGATATGGAGAAAAGGTACGGTTTTTGACAAAAGTAATAATATGGGAGGGAGACATTAATCTTATTAATGAATTTTCAAATAAAGATAGGTGGTATTTACTGTGTGTTCAAGCAGGCAGGTGTATATGTTTGAAACAAAGTGCAACCTGTTGAACACTGTAAGGGTTTTTCAGTTGTTAAGTTAGATTAAATATTTTATTTAGATGTATTTTATTTAATTTTTTCCAAAAACGTGTCAGGACACAATACTTGATCCTCAATCTGATGCACAGTGATAATGCAAATCTCGAAACAAACTGACAAATCGTTCTAAGATAAGAGACTGAGTTCTCAAAGAGATATAAGGTTAACTTAACTATGCACTATTTAAAATGACTAAAAGCACAAGCTTGAAGCAAGTTCTGGATAGCAATATGTGAATCAAATTAATATCCGAAGGTGTGGCTATAAATGCAAAACGCACTAAGAGTAAATTTTAATAATAGTTCAAAACAATTAGATGTCAAATAGCAGTAGTCATCATGGTAAAATTTAAGTGTGACGTTTGCAAAAAAACACTGATCAAAAAGATCAAGAGTCAATTTCGATTTTATGCACAGTACTATTCACGAATATATTAAGGCCATTGGTGTAAGTAAATGTTTTCGTTAAAATTACAAAATTTTGGACAAGGAATTAATGTTTAACTTTGCTGTTATCCAGCAACCAGGTTTAAGTCAGTGAGTATGCAGTATTTTCGTGGTTGATGCTTTTGTTTTTTATTCATCGTTCATTGTTTTTATATTTAAACTTTTTCTATTATTTATTATTGACACTTGTAGCTAAACCGTCACATGTGAATTTTGACCTATATTGATCGAAGTGTATGAATAGTGTTTTGATTAAATCATATTTGCTAAGTGTATAAAATAGTTGTTTTTAGAGTTAATCTAAACAGGCGTTTCTACTGTTTTTCTTTATTTAACCTAGAAATGCAACGTGTTAGGTGTTTCTCCTCCGGTAAAATTCTCGGTTGCAATGTTCAACTAGGTTCCTGCGGAGGCCCGAAAACTTTTTCGTACGACCCCTTTTATATTGTTAGTTTTAACTAGTTATATTTACGATCATTCTCATTTAGAGTCGCAAGCCTCCTATTCCCCTTTACCCTAAGCTCCAGTTTTGCCTCAAAGGTTATGATTTCCCGATGCTGGAGAGATATGAAAAGTATATCGCCCGTGTTCTAAAGCGTTGGGCAGCAGCAGTAGACTCGTAAGTCAGCATTCTGCTTGTAGGAGCACTTGTTTAACTGCAAGTATCTGACAAAATTTCTTCCTAAGATTCCCTCTCCCTCCAAAGAAGACTTTATACAAGCTTTATTATCCCAACTCTACAAAAGTGAGAGTGGACTTCGATTTAAGTCTCTATTGCCGTATTGTTTGTGCCGAGAAAATAAAAACCGTGGACCTCCCCATCATCTTCGATCTTTTTCAACAAAACCTCCCAGAAGGTATTCACCTCACAGTCGAAGAGGTGCGTTTTTTTACTATCAATAGCGGTTGTCTTTAGGGGACTGACACTGGAATTTGACATGTGGTGTTTAGTTAATGTGAGGATTCAATATTCCTGTCATATCCTTTTACCGAATTGTGTTGCCTTTATCTCACCTTGAAGGTTGCAGTTACCACCATTTTGTAAAATGCTGGTGGTACTTAAATAAAAAACACCGCAACCGAAGCCAGTGTTTTAAGCAATAAGTGCCACACATTTCGTAGTCCTTATTTTTTGGTTACCGGTGGTTTAGTCATTATTGCTTCGTGATCGCGTTCTTTTAGGTTTTTGGTTCAGAGAGTATACATCCATTTACGTATACTAATGAAACTTTACCCAATTTATCAAAAACCTTTCTTTCTTAAATATATATTATTCTTTGCGTAGTTTTAAAAATAAGCAAGTGAAGGTTTGAATTACTGTAATCAAGTCATGTTAATTGAAACTAGGTATGCAAGCAATCTTGGGTTGACCAACACGATATAGAAATACATATCTTTGGTTATGTTTTGATTTCAACGTTTTTTAGTTCGACTCAGGACTTGAAGAGGAACGTTACGTCTCCAACCTGGAGGTAGAAACGCTGCAGCAAGAATTGGCCAAATTAACTACAAAATAAGGCACCTGAATAGATTGTATATACGTCGATAATCACTGCTTTTAATTCACTTATGTGTAAAGCCCTCGTATTCCTTTTTTGCAGATCCAAGTCTAAATGACATTCTAACTTGTCTGACTATAGTTGCTGCAAGAGACAAAGTACCTCACATAATTAAAATTAGTACGATAGTTCATTTGTAACGTACTCATCTCTGTAGTTCCACCACCAAAGATCATTATAAAACAAGATCGCCAATGGAAATTCTCCAGTATTGCGGCATAGAAGCAGACATGAATTGAGGTTCCGGCGCGGCTGCCTCGATAAACTGTTCCCGAAATGTTGCCTGTGACCTTCCAAAAACCCAGTCACTAGACGATTGCTCCCACTGAACACAACACCAGAAAGCAAATTAGGAGGCCTTTCTACCATCTTTTTCACAAAGCATGTTTATTTGATGAATATGACGGTGGATGTCCGGGAGATTTTACTTGGCTCCCACTTATGCTTCAACATGTGTCAGGTATTTTCTGGTAGGGCACATTAGCGGGTCTGCATATCTGCAACAATGTTTACCAATAACAGCCTCCATATTTAAAAAAATATCGGACAGACCCAGTCAGAATAACAACTTGGATTGAGTTAGGAGGAATTATTATTAAAAAGTCTGTACATGACCTGGTTGCAAGACATCTAAGACTGGGAGGACTTTCTATTTTCGAGCGCATTAGTTCCCTTAGCATCGGTAGCGGGCTCACTCCTTTTCGTTGTATCAAAGGCAAAGGTCTTCGGAACCTTGTTCAACCCGGCCTTTTGCCAGCGCTCAGCATCTGTTCGCTCCCGGGCTTCGAGTTCAGCAATCAGCCGGGAGTTGCTCATCGCTGAAGATTAAAACAACAAATACTGGGTGATATCGATTCCACTAGGTAGTTCTGTCTTTGGTGAATGAAGTCTTTAATTATACGAGAACCACAGGTTAATAAATGTTGGAAAATTATGTAACAACTATGGTGGACCATCTGCTGTCAAACTGGGGGTGGACCACGGAGACGCCCATAGGGTGGTCCCGACTCCCTAATGGTCAGATCATATGGTGCTTCCAGATTCTTTTGTGGCAACCACTGCAAATGAGTAAGTGGCAGGGTTAGTGAACATAAAAAATCAGTAAGACCACTTTGTCTTCTTTTGCTTGCTGGGAAACGGGCAATACCTCGAAGCAATGAAAGTGGGGGTGAATCAAAGGGTTTGGCAAAATTTAATCCTGCCTTATTGGCTGGGTGGCACAAATTTTAAACACCATTTTTAAATTTTCCATTACTGGTTGTCACTCACAAGTGAGATAATGGAATCAGCCTGCCTAAAACGCTTGCTTGGGAACTGTTCCATGTGAACTAATTTTTTTTTAGATAAAGTATCTGGCATTTACATGCAAAAACATCTTGAATTGCAGAAACTGATGGAAAATATAAGTCCTCCTCTGTTTGGGACCATTTACTAATTGCTTCATCAATCAAGCCCAAAGATCGGAACATACATTCCTTGAAGCCGGCGAAAAATCCCTTCTTCTTTTCTACTTGAGGCGGAGGCTTGGCCAGCTCAGGGAACTGCAAAAAATCCCGCACCGGCTTGCTCTTTAAAATAAGCGCTTGAGCTATCGATATTGTGTTACTTATCGACCAGTACCACAAAAGTGCCTATCGCAGGAAAGAAAACAACATCCAAGTGGCTAGTCGACAAAGAGCACGCTTATATAGTAGTAATGCTAAAAATTATTTGATGTCTGCCAGAAACGAACCGGTTCTAGGACACTTTATTTTGCTTACCGAAGGCATGTGCATAATCATGAAGAAACCAACAATTGGAAACCCGCGCATCATTACTCGAACAGCTGGTGTAAGGCCCTGCGAAGAGACGTCAGCTCCGAACTAAAACAATGGATAAACAAGTCAAGAAGCTGTGCGGTTGCCTCCTCTATGAAGACTGCGAGTTCACTAACACTATGTAACATGGGAACGGCAAAAATGTTAAATAATTAGCAAATCTGAACAGGATAATTGAATGAATAGCAGAGAACACTTGAACCGCCACATACGCCGCTTGCGTTTCACAGAATGTTAGAATCATTCATTAGAAGAGTTGATCACAAACGATGGGAATGTACCATGAGGTTTAGAAAATTCAAGTATATGCGAAACAAACTGCTACATATCCGAGCAATCTTCATTGTTTTTGGACTAAAACTTGATTGGGGCAAAAAGAAACCGAAAAAGGGTTGGGGTACGGTGAGTGCAATATCTCAGCTGTGAATATGGCAGACAAGTGACTAATAAAACTTATCAATGCCCCAAGGACATCAACTTTTCATGTCGTGTATCAATACACATACCTCAAACATTAGAAAGATCGACGCCATACTGTAGAAAGGAAGAATGTAGAAGGGGTCACAAACAGTCAGATCGACAAACCAGCCGAGACCGCCAGTTTTGAGGCTATCAACTGGGAGCTGAGCCATTCCCCGAAGACCGGCAAACACGGAGAGGAAAATTGGCACCTGCATATAACAGTTAAGCTTAGGTCACATTGCATTAGGCTTACACGCACGCTAAAAAGCAGAGGGGTGGCTCAGGTTAGTTAAAGTAGACTGTTGAATTTTCTATAATTTTTTTGGAAATTAATAAAAAATATATTAAAAAATGGGCGAGTGACTTACTTGAACAACCATCAGACGCAAACTATTTAGTGGATTAACATCGTTGTTTTTCATTAGCTCCTGCATTTCCTGGGAAACCTTCATCACTAAATTGATAGGAAAAGTGACAGGCAACGGTATGATGTTAGTGACGCTCAAAGGGGTATGTGAGGTTTTAGAAAAACTTACTTTCAATATAATTTGAATTAATTCGTGCCTTTGTCATCCTATTTTGCAAGGCCACAATCTTTGGCATAACATTTGTGTAGGAGGCCAATTTTCGACGTTGATCAATTATTAATGGAATCAGGCAGAGCCGAATGACGATCGTAGCTGGAACATAAAAAGTAGGTGAATGACAACCTCTGACTTTGATACGTACAACATCATTGAGATAGAGTGGAGCTAGAAAAAGTCTACATAATGTCAGCACAAACATACATTAAAATTCGAAGTTGGGAATATCCCGGTGATTCACAACCACTTTCACTAAATTGAGAGTGCATAAGCACGAAAACCCCAATCAAAGTAACATAATTGTAATTGACGCAACTTCGTTACAGGAAAAATCACTGAACACAGACTTAAATAACAGGGCTTGTAAGAGATAAGTGACACTGGAACAATGACATGAACTTAACAAAGACGTAATTTGATCCCATATATGACATTTTCACCACAAAAGGACATTAGATAGTCAGAAAAGTATGAAGAGGACCACTAATTATGAAGAAAAATCACGGCTTTCTAATCAGGTAAAAAACGTGACCTTCGTGAAGTTATTATGTAGTTCAACTCTAACTGGCGACATAAAGGCACAAATTTTTAGAGGGTTTACTTAATGGGGGAAATTTCGAATCCTCTGAAGACCGTACACATAAAACGCACCTTAACTACCTGCTTGAACAAGAACACTCGGAAAACAGACGAGTTCGAATCGGTACTATAGCCTGAATACATCTTTATGAAGTAAGCAACGAAATAAATCGAGTTCTCCATAGCGTATTCTTGAATTTATTAAAGTGGAATCAGTGACAAAACAAATATTGTAATTAGCCATGCGATAAAACAAGTATTTTGCAGTTTTATTCCAACATTGCAGATAGAATAAATTCAAACACTAACATTTTATTAAATGGTTTACTCCAAGTAGTCTCCAAAAGAATGTGCGAGAGCACTCTGGGTTCTTTATCGTTAAATTGTGCGTATTTACCAGTAATAATTATATATATTTAGTGGGACATAAAAGCTTTAGTCACCTTATCTGAAATAGTCGACAAATCCACAATATGTAAATTTTCAAAATAATCAAGGCGTCACTTACTCGTTGCAATTGCAGCCCACCATGGCAGATCCAAGTTAACATGTAAAACCTCAAGGAGCGACTGATACCACCCGGAAGGCCAGTAACTGTTGAGACCAAGGGAGGCAAATGTTGGTTCACCGAGCGCATTAAGACTAGGCACGATTTCCTGGAGGGGAGGTGGCTGGGGAATATCGGGAATTTTTTCAGATGCGCAAGCAACAGCAAGGGGGAGCGAAACACGTCCCGAGAAAATGTTCTTCGAGTGGATTTTGGAGTAACCGAAAATAAAACCCCTATTTGCCACTGCAAATTTTGGTATATCGAATACAAATCGTTTAGAGAAAACACCAGTAATTTGTACAAGAGATCCAACCCGACGAACAATAGCCATGAATAATTTTCCCGTGGGTCAATCAAACCAGGCTGAGATGGAAGCTTAATAAATGGGTAATAATAACTTAATTGGATTATTTTGCTAGAGTGATTTTACCTTTATTGTAAAGAAATAAAATGACATTTTGGAACGCTGCTTGTTGTGTTGATTATTTGTGAAAAAAGATCTACAAGGTATCGTCGGAAAAATGTCACACAATTCAGACATAGAAATGGCTTGTTGATTCTGTTACAAATTAAGATACATAATTAAACCTCGTTTAATTGTTAATTCGTTACAAAACCCTTTGTATTAAAGTTTACTTAGTTGTAATTTTTTGAACACTACTTATGTACTAGTTACCTCCTTAAGCCAAGACGTTAATGTAGGTTTAGCAAAGCGCAGGTGATCGATGAAACGTCAACACGATTTACTAAAAAAGGGTTATTATTCCCTATGATAAAAATAATTTTAAATAAAAATTTTTTTCCTGACTTTAGCTTAATCCTACCTCTGCATTCTTATTTTTTTGCCAAAGCGATTGTTAGAAATCATTTTCAACCTTTCTATTTGGGACTTCACTAAAAGTTAGTTTAATAAACATGCAAAAATAAATTGCTATACATGCTAAGTAAAAAATAGAGCACATTCTATGCAGAAAAAAATAACGTTTTCAAAACCTAGCATTTATAAACGTAAATGAAGTTTTAGTTTGCAAATTACTGTAATTAGATCCAAGAGGAAACTGATACAAATGAATGCGTGGAAACTTAACAATTTAATTCACATTTAAGTTTGGATTTATCATGTCTAAGGTATTTTGAGGCGCAGATCATGAATGTGCCACGATCAGTCAAAATGCTGAATTTTTCAGAGTTAATTACTCCGGGATCGTCATGAGGCAAGCAGCAAAATTCGCACTCTTTAATAAAGAAGCATTATTTAAAATATTCATTTCTCTTTATTTCTTTTATAATTTTAAGTTTTTCATTAAAAAGAAATTAGGAATTTTCACCATCAAAAAGCCGTTAAAAGTTCCCTGATAAATAGGATATTGAACACATATTTTATCGTAAATAAGGCCTCATTAATTTACTATTGTTTACTCACTTTACACCTGGTAGTCTACTCATGTGCGTAATTTTCTTGAATTAAACAAGATTAACAATCGATTCTTAATATTTTAATTCATTAAAATTAGGAGGTCTTATTACATTTTTACTACCATGGCATTTTAAAATGTTCAGCCGAGATGAAATATTCCGAAACCTTCGAGAAATCTGAATATTTGGAATAATATTTTTTCCGCACCATTATTTAAACCGCTGTACGTATGAAAAATATTTCCTAATATGAGTCAAATTAAATTTAATGCAATGCAATGCTTAAGCGTCATAGACTACGCTTATGAATTTGTAAGGAAGTTTGACAAAGAGTAGAAGTCAAAAAGATTAGTATCGATATATCACTAAAAATCGCATTATATGAATTAAATCTATTCATGATCAATGAAAGTAAATAAAACAGCAAGAGAGTTGAAACAATATTTAGAGATCAACATTATCATCACATCACAATGTTCTTCACAAAACAGAATTTATCGATTTATGTGCGCAGGAAACATCGGTTCAATCAATAGCTTCCACAAAGCCATAAAATACTTGTTCCGCAAAAGAACTTTTGCTGTTAAAATTTTACCACTTAAATTATAGACGATCTACAACTACACTAATAAATATGGTTCATTGACAAATAAGTTTGCAGCTTAGTTAATAAATGCCTCTTTACCGATATTTGTACAGAAACAAAAGATCTACGTATTTCACCTTCAGGTAATCTTATATGAATTGCACATGACGTTTAAAATAGCTTTAGTAATGCTCTAAAATATAAATGAGCCATGTAAGGTATATGAACTTTGGTAAATAATCTGGTTTTGAAAACTAGTAAGAAGGTACAATTTAGAGTCTTAAATATGATTTGGTAACTACATAAGCATGAAATTTCATTATGTCTTGCCAGGGAGGCTATGCTTGCCATCAAGTCAATGACTTTGTGTCGATATAAATAAGCGAAAGTCAACCCCAACTGCAAGTGGTTTGAAATATTTGTTAGTTTTCGCATAAAATTTGTCATATTAGTGTTATCTTGATCCCAGAGCATATTATTTTTGAAAGGAGCTATTTTTTGTCAAAGATAATGTCTTTTTCGTCACACCTTATGTTGAACTGAACTCATTTTTCAAAATATACCTTTGTATTCAAATTTGTATTACAATTCACTTAAGTAACTGATTTTTAAAAAAGAAAACCACTGCTATTAAATTTTTCATTCTGGAGTAGCTGACGTGACATTTTTTACTAAACTTACCTCCGCGATAAATGGAAAATTTCCATCAGCACACGTTAATCCACCCGTGTTGCGTGAGAATGAAGCTATAAATCAGTTTTAAATTAACTTTTTTCATTGTTGTGGATTGTTTGCGGGTTTTTATTGTTTTTTAAAAAAAAAGACGGCGCTTTTACATCTCGGGACTAGAGATAGTCCACTATCTCCTGCAATGATCCCATGCAAGGAATGGCACATGTCAGTATCATTTCTAATAATAATTTATAGCTTAATGAAGATTTAATTTACTTGTCATATTTTTTAAACTGAAATTAATTGCTACTAAGGGGTTTGCAAATATTTTTTTGAAATCGCAATGTTTGCAAAATGAATGTTTGATACATCAAACTTGGGAGTTTGTAATGTTATCCTTGGTTGTCTGATTTTGCAAGAAAGTATGATTTATTTAATATTACAACTAATAATTAAACTAAAATGCGAGCCATATGTGAACTACTATGCTGAAGACGCTGAAGTAAAATCAAATGTATGCACTCCTAATGCCCGTAATTTGCAATAAATATTAAATCAAACGCAATGACAAGACCTGGTAAAATGGCAAGAATTTGAAACTCAGACTAGGGAGTTCGATATACATCGACGATTACATCTAAATATCAGTATAGTAGTAAATATTTCAAAAATTTGCACAGCAATATGCCAATTAAAATCAATATAAAGAAAAAATCTTAGCTTACGAGGTTGAATTTTTATCTTATTTTAAATTTTGTTAGTGATTTTGAGTAGTTTAGCTAATTGTGATCAGATATTATTATAGATAATTCGTTGAAAGTATTTGGATGTTAATCTGCTTATTAGTGGTTGGTGGCCCTTCAAAAACTATGCAAACATGATGGCAGTATATAAGCCACAAATCTAACCGCTTTTGTCAATCGGCGGTTTACTTTAGAGTAGTGTAATTTAAGAACTTGGCTTATTTGACTATGTAGCCAAAATAAATTTAATATTGTCAAATTAATGCAAATAAACCGTTAAAGTTCATTCTTAAGCAACGTACATATGCAATATCTGATTGTTTTAGTTATTTTGCGTTCATTTGCATTATCTTTTGTAATTATTTTAACATTACGAATACGCTCTATGTTTTCGGCAGAATGATAGGGTTGACTTTAGCTGATCGCCATTTAAGTAAATTTAAATATCGACTATAGAAACTAAAGCGGTATTGCACCTGGTTTTTGATAAAAGCAGCTGTCTATTTTGTATTGGAATCCATGCAGTCTTGGTCATGTTAAAATAATAGATATCGGAAGATTTTAACAAAATGTTACTATGTAATATTCAATGCCTAGAGTATTAAATTTGGGGAACCCTTCCCGAAATTCCAGAAGTATTTACGTACCATTCAGAGGGAAAACTGCTATATTCTCTAAAAGCATTTTTCTTAAGCAATTTTTAATCTAAGCACTTTTTATTTTGGAGTATTGTGGTTTTGAATGTTAGCATTAAAAATAATATGTGCGCTTTAAAATAACATCCTAATCCTTAGTGAAATTCAAGATAGCATTATGAGGCATAAACGGTTTTTCACTGCCTATTTCACAAATATGAGAAATAATAAAATTTTTGCTAAACAATTAAATACAGTAAATGGGTATCTACACAAATCTTATGTGAATAATTATTTGGGCGCCCGTCATTTATCTGTTTCTTCATCCTGACCTTCTATCTGATGCGACAATGCACTACTTTTTTGCATTTATGGTCGAAATACCATATTTTTTAGCATTGGAATAACCTTTTTTGTGCATTTGTCTACGTTAATTCTGTTACACTTATGTTTGTAAAAATGATGATGCTGTTTTCTTTATTCAGGCTACTGGGTTAAAAAACCCAAGTATCAACTGAGGTGTTTTGGTTTTAATTCCGACAATGTGGAGGGGGCATGATTCACTGCCCCTTCGGCCAGAACAGCTGCAAACGATAAAAGAACACGAGTACTCATGCCGAGGGTCATCTCTTTTGGAAAGTTATTTTCAGGTGTTTTGGTGCGCATTGGTACCTTATGTCCCCAAACGCATTGCCCCTAATGCGTTAACCCTCTTCGGGCTGATTATTAATGCTCTTAGCGTTCTAATATTACTTTACTATAGCCCAGATCTTAAGTCGGAAGTAGGTTTTTCTTACATAGTTTATATGATGAGGTGCCATCCTGGTCACTCGCTTTCGGTGCATTGTGTGTTTTTATTTATCAAACTCTCGATGCGTTGGATGGTAAACATGCTCGGCAAACAAACAGCGTTTCCCCACTTGGCGAACTTTTTGATCACGGCTGTGATGCAGTTGCTTCTGGTATGGCTTCTGTCATTTTTATTGTTTCTAGTTTTTGTTCCATTATCTCTATGTGTTGCTGTGGGTATTGGTACTCACCCCGTCGTTGTTTTCTGCCAGTTTTTCGTCTTTATTGCTCTATTTTACCTGGCACACTGGCAGTGTTACATTACAGGACACCTGGAGTTTGGATTGTAAGTTCAGGGGCTATATCTCAGATTAGTAGGATCGACGTAACCGAAGGTCAGGTAGGCGTCATGTTTGTTCTTCTATGGACATCGATATTTGGTGTTGGATTTTGGAGCCACTGCGTAAGTGTTTTACGTACATTGGATGCTTGTTAAGTTGAATTAAGCACCCAGCTTAGTCTCAATTCACATAAAGTCTCGTGGCAGCTAATTTTAAAGTCAAATTTTGAAATTGTTTTCAATATAAATTTGTTTTTGGAATATATGTTATCTTTTAAAATGTGCCATAGTGTGGCAGTTTTCAAAAGCAATAATTTTTAATCAGCATTGCCGTATTAAGCTATTCTATTTTTCAAATTTGTAGATCCCAATCATCGGAATGCCTTTAAAATACGTTCCATTTATAGCAATTATGTCTGCTGCCACTTTAAATATTTTTCGCTTTTTCTCAATAATATCCGAGGGTGGAGCTGGTAAAGCCGGTACAACCGTCGCTGTAAGTTAAGTTTGCTCAATGCACTTAGCTCTTTTTATAAATTTTTTAGTAGGGATGTGCTTCTCAACTCAGTTGTCACTCTCTGATTACAGACTTTTTTAGTGGGACCGAAAGTGATCAAATGACTATTTCACTGATTCATCTAATTTATCAGATAAATTCAATGTGCACTGTGTATCCAGTAAATCGCTGCTTTCGGTTTTATACATTCGTACATTGTTTCAAGCACCCATGTTCACACCCATAAGCCAATCGGCAAATAGGTTTTGTAGGACATTGGACCACTGTAAGTTTTAATATATTTTAATGTTTGTATTCACAATTTCTTCATTTAAGTCTTACATCACTCGTTTCCCTGACTTGCGTACTCGGAAGACTTTGTGTTTTTTTATTGGATCTCATAGATTTCGTGTTTCATCACCAATAATATTAGGCACATCTGCATAAGGTCAACGCTGGAAGTGTTTCACTAAGATCCCTCATTGGTGCCGTTCATTCATTCACTCGTAATACAGAACTGCATTACATGCGGTTTTCGGTTAATGAGTGAAAGTCGTTTAATTAATGTCACTACATAACGTGATGAACTGAAGTCTAGTAATCGAATTTGGGAGCAATTTACTGATTGCCAATAAACAATGTTCTTGAGTAATTTGACCGATCTCCAACACTTACAGTTGTAATTTAAAAACTAACTTCAAGTAGTTTTAGTCTTTCAGAGAAGTTTTTAAAACTAATTTGTTAATATTCTGTAGCTGGGTAATCGAATTCTCGTTTAATGTAATATGGCATCACTGGTAAATTATATACGCGGCCACTCCTGCATTTTGGTTCTAGACACGCTTATTCATTTTTGTCTCTTACTATTTTAAGCTAGTCTGTGATTCCTCCTACCTTCCTAAAATCATCTTCAGCATTTTGCGTATAGCTAATCACTTGCTAGAAAGTAAATTTCATTGAGGAAGAAACTGTTCCGTATTGTAGCTGGGAGGCGTTTCGGGAAGGCTTTGACAAAATTTAAGCCAATTCCCATGTTTGCTCAAAAGTGTTCATCTTGACCCCCTTTAAATCATGGACCTCTTTCTAAAATAACTTATTGCTGGGAAATCTCGTGAATACAAATTTTCCGAATCTCGAACTCGTTAATTCAAACGCCAGTGGGGTAGGCCACCGGTTTTGTGGTCAAAAACTTTTAACTGCAGATCTGGCTTTACTCCCGTTCAACTATCAGTCAGATAAACACAACAAATTACCTCGGGGGAGGCGTCAAAATTGCGCCCATCAACCGCCTCACTGATGCTTCTATTGATGTACATAAGACCCTCTTTCGGTTGTTGTAACCGACGTCAGTGAAGCGTATGAATTAGATGTATTTCGTTCGTTTATGGCTATCATCATTCTAGGAACCTTAAATGCCGCGAGCAAGTGTTGTCGGTTGACGATGGACCATGAGTGACTGCGTTGTGGAAGGGTGCTGCCCGATTGGTACAACTTGAGGCCCTGTGAAAAGTGTCACAAATATTTTGAAATTCCTTCTGGGCAACTTAGCTGTGGTTGTTCATTTCATCCTCGTTAGAGCTTACCTAACCCCGCGTTTATTTATATGGAAAGTATGTATAAGGTTATTCCTGCCTAGCTTATTTTATTGATGTTATGCTTTTTAGAATACAAGTGTCCTATTTCCAGCGTTCCCATTCGGCGTGGTTCTTACTTTTGCGATAATGGTTGCTGTTCGCTCTCCATTAAATCTCTACACTAGTCACCTCGTTCTATTTCTCGTCACTTTCGGATTTGTCGCTGTCAAGGTCATACTAAAGCTCGTGGTATGTAAACCTGAACCTATCATTGGTTTATATTCAAAAATTTATTGAGCCAATTTTATCTTGTTTCCCACTCAGTTTTGTTTAAGTCACATGAATGCCCATTGTGTATTATAACAATTGCTGGATGGAATCAGTGCGTCATTTAGGTTGCTTTGACGTTTCCTCATCTATCGAAAACTTGCTTCTAGAATTTTAATCCCAGCTCATTTACCATTACTTTTCTGGGCGTGCAGAGATCTTTTCCGATTAACTGTAAGTAAATATTTTTGCATATTTTGAATGTTCACCGCGATGCGAAACTCTGGAAATGGATTGATTGACAAGATAGTAACACAGTATTCTTGCGCCTTAATTTTGTGCCACACCACAACTCACGAAACGTCGTATTCATTCAATGTCGGAAAAAATAGGTCCATTTTTTAACCGAAGCAGTATTTGCAACCGCAAACATTTACCCGACGCTCGCTCAAATACTCTATTGCATGAATCCTCAACGCAGCTCTTAGTATATGCCAAGTTTACTCCAAAAAGTCGCCTGTCCAGACTGCACTCATGTCTTTGGAACGTTGTCGTTCTTGTCTTATATTCTGCAGTCTTGAAACTCCGTCTCTGTTTGATTTTTCCTTTTGTGTTTATGGAAGGCGAAAAACGACTTGTGATGTGGCTCAAAGTGGATGAGGTGAAATCTTATTGTAGGAACTTATGAGTGGCAAGAATTATTTTACATTGTTGAGTTGCTAAAGTGCGTGAAATGTCTACTTATTAATTACCCCCGACATTTTTTAATGTACCAGCATATTTAGGTGGTAATGTGTACATTTGTGCTTTGAGCTGCAGCAGGTGACGCGATGTTCTTCACCGTTGTCGTTAATAGGCTTCAGTATAACCTCTGCACACCTTGGGAATTTGACCGTGGATTCATTGTCTCTACGTATAGTGCTGATAATGTAGTTCTTTTTGAGTCGCTTTGTGAGCAATATCCACACATTTACCACTACCTTTAAATAAACTTTGGCCCTCTTGTGTACATGCTTATGCCGCGTGTTTCATGCTGAATGTGTGTGCTTTCATGCGTACGTCTTACCAATGTTGGTTGAGTGTTTTACCAAAAAAGTTCAACTTTTCAGTTTGCTGGTCCAGTCCCCATACCCTTGCTCATGTGCTCACACAGATTGTCAGATAGTCGCTTGGATACTTTTATCGATTCATTGTTTACCTTAAGAATCCTTGCAGTCATTCTGAGCCCATTTTCCAAATCAAGAGACTAGCATGCATTGGAACATGACTATGTGTTATTTGATGTGGAAAATTTGCGTTTGAGATACGCGTGTTCTCGTGATTTTCATGTGCTGCTGCATGAGTGTTATTTTCCTGTTTATTACCTGGCAGTCAGCGCTAGTAGGTAGTAAAAGTCTTTTTGTGTTTACGTTGAGTCCTTAATTAATTTAATTGAAGTAACAAAATGTGTGCTGGAGCCTGGTCTTATGCCCTATCCATTCTACATTCCTTTTTTTTTTAAATTTCAACCTTCCGTCTTAGGTTGACCACATGTCAAAGAGCGAGATGGCCGTTGCTGATTCCATTCTGATTGGTCCGGTCGCGCTCTTCTTCAATCAGTACTTCAACTGTCCCATCCCTGAATACTTTGTTCTCTGGTGCTGCTGCGTAAGTCCAGTGCTCTTTTACCCAAGCATAAATCTTCATTCCACGACATAGATTATCAGACAAACTGCTCTCCCTAACCCGTGTTTCTATAGTCTGTTGCGTAACTCCCCATTCAGCAAGGCTTACCTTTGGGCTGTCTGGTGATGGTCATTTAAACTGGGCTTTTGTGGTATTTCGAATTTATCAGTGTAAATAGAAACTTTTTGTGCTTTCTTAATGTCGGTCCATTTTTTAATGCTAAATCACTAAAATTAAATTCACCTCACGATATGCCACAGCTAAGCTTTTGGGCTGTTAGGTTCATTTGATATTTTCACTAGCAATCAATCACGTGGTAAGAACGGTTGTCCTGTCCAATGTTTGTCGTGTAGTATATCAATGTCAAGATTCGCAATTGTGTTATAAAATATCTTCTAAGTAAAATCTAACCATGATTAATGGCTTGAGCGCTATTGCGTAACTGGGTGCTTTTTTCGCTAGTAAAGTTGTTATCGACGGTTTTCCTTGTGATCATTGCCTGTGCATTTTTATAGCACCTTTCCTGAGCAATGATGTAAAGGTGAAACTACAGGAGAGTATGTCCCCTCAGAAGCACCGAATCCACGCCATATTGATTTGTGAATTTATCGGTTTTGGCCTCCGTGCTTTTTTGTCAGACATATAGGAACTATTCCTGCATAAGATTGAAAATGCCATTCGAATTAGTGTTCAGTTATTGGTCAACTTCAGCTGTAGCTTCAGGGGTCGTATCAAGGGTGCCTGCAAGTCTACTAATGATAAATATTTTCCAGTCTCACCAGTGTGCTAGATGCTTTGAGAAGAAGAACTAAATTGGCGTTGACACTACAAAGTATTACAACTCTGTGTAAGTTATCCTTAATATTGAAGTTACCATGCGCCTACGACTATGACAGTGCAAGTGTAAATAAATTTACCTGACTTTATAGTGGCTGACGGGCTTTACCGGTAGATATTGGCTGTCAAATCCTCACTTACTTTAGCCCTAGTTATGAATGATGACCCTGACTACCAGCTAGAAAAGCCAGGGTGGACATTCACGGTCTGGATTTGGCAAGTCGCTAACTGTGTTTTATTATGAAGGGCAAATGTACAAACCACTAATCGTGGCTGTCTGGAACAAGAAAAACCCTCTTTGCTCCAAGCAAAGTGTTTGTTGCAAGCCCCTGCTAGACTGTCTTCGAGGAGGCATACGATGGTCTAGTTTGTCATTGTGCTTTTCGGAAGAGGGAGTGTCGCTGGTAGAAATATAGAGTCATCCCCAGGCTGATTAGATGCTTACTTTATATTCATATTGCCTGAAATATAACTTCTCTTTCAGAGTTATCTATATCCTAGTTTACAGGCAAGGATCTGGTTGTGGGGCAAATTTGGGTCTTTATCAGATCTTGGTGATAACTGTCTGTTCTCTGACTTGTGTCCTTAAGTTGCTGACAAAGTTCACACACAGGTTCTCAAAGGTTTACTTTGGCACTGTTTCGTGTAACGTCTTGTTAATTTAAAATAGCTCGCTGCTCCGGAATGTTAACGAATATGTGCACTGACTAGGTTATGGCAGTCACATCGTTTTTCCGAATTAAGTGCAATCATCACATCGAATTCGGCCTCAATTCAAACCAAATTACGTCATGTGTTCATGTACTTGTGATGTACTTACCACAAACGTCAATGTCATGCTAGCACATTGTTGTATCGGGCATTCATTCTATAATAGCTTGTTCTTTTAGGTACTCCAATCAGTCATAAGTACTCCAATGTACTTGGTAAACGGTTTGTCATTTTTCACATGACACCTTTTTGCACGCATGAGGAAATTCCGGGCATCGACGTCGTGCTCGTAAGGGCAGATAATCCGATACACTCGTTAAGGTCTTGAACTACGACCGTGGTAAAATGTTCCAGCGATGCCTTATCGAACTTTTGTTTAGTGCCTTAAGTGGACAATCGAAACTCCCTACGCCAAGTTTGAAAATGCCGACTTGAGTCACCTGGTGTCCCTGCTTTTCTTCTGGTTTCTACTAATACTTCAGTGTTAATATTTAGATTTTATACGCTAAACAACAGAATTTGTATTGGCATTCTTTTCTTATCCGTTCCTCTTCCAATTATTTGTTAGTTTGTCTTTTTTGCCTTTAGATACTTGCAGTGGCAGATACTCTTCTGTACTCTTCTCACGTTTGCCTGCAGCTAGCTGATTACCTTAACATCTACATATTTCGTGTGGATAAGCCTCCACCACATCCCGACTCTCCGCAGCAGCTCCGAGACTCAAAACCCGGAACATCAGCTCCTGCTTCCTCTTCGTTCGGACGGTCCACCCATTACCCAGGCTATCATCGTTCAAAGTGGGGGCCTCATTAGCTCAAGTCGTCATTCCTTGCCACAATCTGTATAGCTCTTGACCAAGCTCTTTTCTCTCCAACTTTAGTTTGCGGTATTGTGCTAACCCTGTCGATATAAATGGACATTGTGCGTTTGGATGTTGGAAATGTGTGGGTATCAATTTATGTTAATTTTGTCAGGCGTCTCTGAACACTGCAGCAATACTCATGTCATGAAGTTAACGTCTTATTAGAATCTAACTGACCTTTGTGTCCAAGTAGTTGTGTAGGAGTAGGTGCTATACCGTTTCAATGTGAGGAATATCAAGATCTCTGCAAGATTGGACTGCTACCAGTGAATTGAAATAAATTTAGTCGCTACACCTGAGGCTAAGCACAAATTCGCTGCATTTCCACGTTAACAAAACGCACTAAACCGACTAGTTTAATTATCTACAAATTTGCCATAAATGTACTACTGACATGAAAAGCGAATATCACATGATCGAGATGACAGAGTTTGCACCTAACAAAAGTGATACAGAAGTAACTGCAGTGGGCTGATGTAAAAGGTGAAGCAAATGATAAGAGTCCCTCAATCCATGCCCCGAAAATAGGTAGGATGTGCTGATATTCGATACTAAGAGGTACAGTGGGTATTAAGAATCAGTGTACCTTTGTTAGTCACGTACTGCAGTTCAGAGTAAGGCCAACGACAGTGCAACGTGTTCCACCTATTTGCTCTGAAACTGTGAAAGGAAAATCTAATGGTTATGGAGCACTACGCGATATACGACGCCAAGTAGATACTGCAAAGAATGTTTGGCCAAAACTACACGGTACTTAGGGTTTCCTCTGATGAAAGTCAACGGTTGGTGACACCAGACCAAAAGATGCTGATCTAAAGATGATCATCTGATCTAATTTTTTTATTTATCTCCGAGGCAACCTTGAAAAAACAGCAAATTTGATCCTATCTCAAGTGGCCTACGGTAGCTGACCGAACGCATTGCAGGGAGCAGAAACTCGCTTCGATGGCTTAGAATAATTTGCAGAGAACCGCGCTGTCATCATCCATTCAGCGTCTAGTGAAATTGCCGCTAACTCAAGGCTTTATCTAGCAAGTGAATGAACGGAACACTAACGGTTTGATTATTCCGTTTTTCCTCGATTTCCCATTGGCGCAAAAGGTCATTAAACGGACGCAAAATTAACTATTTATATAATTTGGAGGTTGGTGGTCTGTGACTCAAGAGCAACAGCTGAGTCGACGTTATTTGAAGTCCAATCTTGTAGCTAAAAACTACAAATGTAATTGCATTTTCGTAATATGTAACGTCTTTGTTGAAACCTTAGACAAAACAAGATCATTAAAAATATTATGATAGAATGTCTTGAATTTAACTATTAATGAATTAGAACAGGACTTGGAAATGCCCCACCGTCAACACTCGGTCGTTGATGGTCATAATACCAATAGGGTTTGGAAACTGTACCTGCAGACGACAACATAAAATAGATTCTATTCACAGTATTGGTGGCGAATTACAATTGAGTGTTATGGGGGTTTAGAAAAAGGATTGGCATCTGAAAAAACCCTACAGGAGTCACTTAATCTGGAGAAAAATCTGGAATGATCCAACATATAACCATTGAGAGTCGAGGGTCAGCTGGTACAAAAGCAATCATTAAATGTTGCTATGTGAATAAACTATCTGAATTGTAGTTCAGCGGAACAAAACGCTCAAAGAATTTTGGGGCTAAAAATATTAAAATATCTTCCAGACTAGGAAATGGGTGGACGCTACAATGCGACTTTACCTCGAAGAACACAGAGATACCAATATGAATATCGTTTGCTATGTCAGGCAGCTTCTTAAGCATTTTGCTAAGTGAATTCGCAGATCTTACGAATAGGTAAAAATGTACTTTAGCTCAATGATAGTTTAATTGAAAGTATATTTTATAAAAGGTTATCAATTGCTGGCTTTTTAACCTCTTTATCTAGGGCCCGGTCAATACGAAAAAACAGTCTACATTGTCCGAAATGTTATTGATGGAAAGAAAACGTGTGGAAATTTAAAATAAACGTCAGAAAGTGGTAGACGATTTTGCTATCGCTGTTAAATTTCCTCTGCTCATTTGCTCCAGTAAAATGAAAATTGCCATGATCTTCTTCTTTCCCCAGAATTTTTACTATTTTGGTTTTTGTTAAGCATCAGTTCAATTTTTTTCATTGAATGAGCAGAACTCTGTGAGACATCATTGCAATCACTGACTTCGGAGCTTTCTAAATAGTTACTGTTAATTTATACCTATGTTTTAAGAAAATATACCACGCTGACCTACCTTGTGACTCAAAGTAATCAATATTTGTG